AGGTGCAAGTTGGCGGGTGGGGCTGGGTGGGGAAGCCATTGGAGGTGTCTGGGGGAGTGGGAGGGTAGGGCAGCCATTGGGAGGAATGCAGTAGCTGGTGGGGGATGGGGCCAGTTGGGGCAGCAATTGGGGGTTTGGGGTGGGGCATGTGGGCCTTGCAGGGAGGGTGGTAGCCCCTGTGGGAGCCATTTGGCCCCCGTTGAGGGGCCATACCTCTTGTGTGGGAGACAAACCCCTGTTGGGGTCTGAACCCCTTCTGGGGGGCTGAACCCTTTGTGTGGGGGATGAACCCCCTGTTGGGGGTGTGTAGCCCTTGTGTGGGGGCTGAACCCTCTGTTGGGGGGCTGAACCTCTTGTGTGGAAGCCAGTCCTCTGTGTAGGGGCTGAATCCCCTGTTGGGGGGCTGCACCCCTTGTGTGGGGGCCGTCGCCTTGTGGGAGGGCAGCAAAATATGTATTCATGAATTCAAGAAACCTGTATTTAGAGTTCACTGTATTATTATGATAAGAGACTTGCTTTAACACTGTAGATATATCAATAAAACATTGTCCAACTGATGGCTGTCTCTGTCTCTGTCTCTCTTCATAGTGCTCTTTTGTTTTACTTGTGGAGGAACATGGATTTGGGGGGATTTTACTGAGTGACTTTGGGATTTTTTTTATCAGGGATTTTTCAATTTTCCAATAGGGAACACCAGAATTCCTGCTAGGGAGGCCAGTGGCAGGACCCTGCCTGCTCAGAGCTGGCACCTTGGACCCATCTGGCTGTGGCTGACCTCCTCGCCCCATTTGGCCAGGAGGACATGCTTTGACAGTTCAAAGCAGGCCACCACACCCAGAACATCTTCCAGGTGAAAGCTGCCCAGATGGCTGGGCAGGGGGCACAAATGGCAGTAGTGCCACACAAAGGCCAACCCTGCAACCACAGTCCACTGGCAGCTGGTCCAGAGAGGCAGATGCCTCTACTGGCTCTGCAGTCCCCATCTGAGTCTGGCAGGTGCAAAGCAGGTCACAGCCAGGCAGCAGCCCCCACTGCCAGACTGCTGCAGTGGGTAGAGGGTGCAGGGAACTCTCAGGGCTGCTTCAGCAGTCCAGCTGGCACAAGAGGTAGTGTCCACAGGTACCAATTGGCTGAGCTGCAGAAGCTCCTAAGAGCTAGTAGCCCTGAGCTACTTGCCAGGGTGGCTTTTTATACTGCTGGGGCCAGGACAGGACCAATTTTTATACTGCTGGGGACAGCACAGGTGCTGGCCCCGGGCTCTAGTACCCCCTGGCTGCAGATCCAGGAGGAGCCAGGCAGGGTTATTTCGCCCCAAGTGGCACAATTTGCTCCACAACAAAGTGCATGTCCAAGCACATGCACTGAGGCAAAAAGCCCCAGCTCAAATTTGCACCGCTTCTATTTGAGCTGCTGCAAGCACATGTGCTTGCATGTGTGGATGTGCCCATAATGAGAAAATTCTTCCTAATATCCAGCCCTAACCTCCCTTGCTACAACTTGAGGCCATTCTGTCATCTGCCACCACTGAGAACAGTCTAGCTCCATCCCCCTTTGATCCCCCCTTCAGGTAGTTGAAGTCTTCTATTAAATCCCTTCTCAGTCTTCTATTAAAACTAAATAAGCCCAGTTCCCTCAGTCTTTCCTCGTAAGTCATGTCCCCCAGTCCCCTCACCATCCTTGATGCTGTCTACTGGACTTTCCAATTTGTCCACATCCTTTCTGCAGTGGGGGGCCCAAAACTGAACACAGTACTCCATATGTGGCCCTACTAGTGATGAGAAGAGGGGAATAAACACATCCCTTGACCTGCTGGCAACACACCTACTAATGTAGCTCAGTATGCCGTTAGATTTCTTGGCAACAAGGGCACCCTGCTGGCTCATATTCAGCTTATTGTCTTATAAGCTACTGTAAGTCCCAGGTCCTTTTCTACAGAGCTCCTGCCTAGCCAGTTAGCTCCCAGCCTGTACTGGTGCATGGGATTGTTCTGTCCTAACTGCAAGACATTACACTTGTCCTTGTTGAACATCATGAGATTTCTTTTGGCCCAGTCCTCCAATTTGTCTAGGTCACTCTGAATCCCAGACCTACCCACGAGCATATCTACTAATCCCCGCAGCTTGGTGTCATCTGCAAACTTACTCTATGCCATATTCCAGGTTAATGATGAAGACATTGAACAAAACAGGCCCCAGAACCAACTCCTGGGGAACTCCACTTGATACCAGCTGCCAACTCGACATCGAGCCATTGATCATTACCCTCTGAGCCTGATGATGCAGCCAGTTTTCTATCCACCTTACAGTTCACTCATCCATCTCATAGTTCCTTAACTTGCCTGTGAAAATGTGGGTGACCATATCAAAAGCTTTGCTAAAATCAAGGTGTACCACATCTACTGATCTCCCCACATCCACAGAGCCAGTTATTTCATCATAGAAGGTAATCAGGTTGGTCAGGCATCACTTGCCCTTTGTGAATCCTGTGCTGACTGTTCCTAATCACCGACTTCCCCTCCAAGTGCTTAGAAATGGATTCCTTGAGGATCCTTTCCATGATTTTTTTCGGTGACTGAGATGAGCCTGACCGGTCTCTAGATCCCTGGATCCTCCTTTTCCCTTTCTTAAATATGAGCACTATCTTTGCCCTTTACCAATCATCTGGGCCCTCTGCTGATCATCATGAGTTTTCAAAGATGATGGCCACTTTATCTGCAATCTCATCAGCCAACTCCCTCAGCACCCTCAGGTGCATCCCATCCAGCCCCATGGAGTTATATATGTCCAGCTTTTCTAAATAGTCCCTACCCTGTTCTTTCACTACTGTTGGCTGCTCACCTCCTCCCCAAACTGTGCTGCCAGGTGCAGTCTCGGAGCTGACCCTGCCTGTGAAGACTGAAGTGAAAAAGGCATTGAGCACATCAGCCTTTCTGGCATCCTCTGCCACAATGATATGATACTTTACCCTTAAAATGGCAGTAGGGGTGCTTTAACTAAAGTGGTTTTATCTTGTTTTATTTTGTTTTTAAAGAATTGTTCTGAATTGATATGCTGGTGCAATAGGTGACACTGGTGCAACAGGCTGACTTGCTGTGAAGCTAGCTTTTGCAGTGTTCTAAGGTTTGTAAGGTTCTGGAAATTACCTATTTATTGGGATGGATTGGATTCTAAAATATGATTGCCAGTAACCCTTAAAATATAGTTTGTCATAGAGCTGAACTTCAGAAAAATCAGTTCAAGCTGTGGGTATTATGGCTATGACCATATTTTTTAAAAAGGGGAAAGCTTTTTAGCTGTTGCCAATATAGCTCAGTAAGTGGAGCCTACTGGTAAAAAAAAAATAAATCACAATAATGAACCACCTATGGTTTTTCCTTTACCTTGACTCCAGTCTTTCTTTTTCGGAGGCATCTACAATGACAACTCCAAACCAGACCAAAGATACATATTTGAAAGATCATCTGAGACGTATTAAAATAGATATTGAACATCCAGGGAGTTCAACATGAAGTTTATTTTCAGTTATTTTACATCCATACTTTGTTTTTGTTTTACTTAGTATTTATACATTCATTTAGCTTTCTATTATTATTTTCAGAACACATGTTGTGAATATGATGAGGTGTCACATGATGTACTAAACATGGGTTGGAATCTGATTACCTTTGCTTACCTCAAGTACTACCTTACCGCACAAGTAATAAGAAAATATTCTGAAAGAAAAAGATTTGAAGCTAGTTACTATAACAGTGAACATGTTTAAAAGCACCTATATAGACCTAGCCTTAGAAGGTGCTCTCAGTCTTACCTGTCCACTCTCCTGATGTTTACAATGCTACCCTGTAAAGTGGGATGTCAGGTTCTGCATCCTTTAAAGGGAAAGTGAGCCTATAACTTGGGTTCCCCGTGTCTTCCCTGTCTTGGGTAGGCACTGCAGTCACTAGGCAATTAGGCCAATGGTTGGATAGTCAATTCCACCCATCCATGTTACACAGTTGCTAGCCATTAGGGATATGCGAAGTGAGCCCTATTCGATTCGGATTCAGATTTGGCCCAAATCAGGGACAGTGATTCGATTCATTGATTCGGATCACTGTCCCTGATTTGATTCGGCCAAATCCAAATCTGAAGATTCAATGCTGATTCAGAGAATCAGTGATTTGGACATAGGCACAGCTTTAAATGTTTTTTCTACATACCTCGAGGTACTAGCACAGTTTGTGAATGCTGCAATACTGGGGCACATGGAGTGTCCCACAGGAGCACAGGGGCCTGTCTATGTGCTTGGCAGTGAACCCAGAAGTGGACTGGATATACTTGTGGTCCACTTCTGGGTCCACCAGGGAGCGCACTGGGGGGCTGCCCTGTGCCCTCCCCCCGGCTTGGTGATTGGCTGCTGGGAGACCCCAGGTACCCCCCCAGACCCAGGAGGCACCAGTTGCCAAGCCAAGGAGGCATGGGGGTCCCCGCAGTGCACTCCCTGGCAGACTTGGAATTGGACCGGAAGTGCTTCTGGTCCACTTCTGAGTCTGCTGCCAAGTACGCTAGGTAACCCCCTGTGCTCCTGTGGGACACTCTATGAGCCCCAGTATCGCAGCATTCACAGCCACCTCCTACCTAGAGGTATGTAGAAAAAAAAGCTGTGTCTATGTCCAAATTGCCTAATTTTTCCGAATCTCTCTGAATCGATTTGGAGGATTCTGAGACAATTCAGAGAGATTAAAGGGTTCACTGATTCCATTTGGATTTGGTGATTCAGCCACCAAATCAGGCTGAATCTCCACCAAATCAAACCAGGGACTGAAGCTTCGCACAGCCCTACTAGCCATAGGTTTTTTAACTATGTTTTCATGATTTACAGTTCACCACTGCACATCTATTTCAGAAACACATTGGTATGGGGCATACATGGAGTCTCTGAAGCAGCAATGAATCAATTACAGGCACATGCAATAAAGAAAAACTATAACTGCATAAGAAATATTACTGTTGTGTAACTGATTTGGATGGTTACATGAGGCAAAGTACTATCTAGTTGGGTGAATTAGGCATCTAAAAACTGCATGTGACTTGGGCTGCTTAATAGTGAAAATAAATTCTGCCCTTAGCTTCTTCTCATTCCCAAAGGGTTTGTTTAGTTCAGGAGAGTATGCCACTTAGGAAGGAACAGCTCTCATTCCTATTGTGCATCCAGAGGCTGAACCTGTTTAGCCCAGCAGAATCACATGGTTCTTCCACCCTGGCAATTGAGTCTTGCATGCCTCCAGCTTCAGATCCTATTGCACCCATGAGACACCCAGATCTCCATGGGCAGCCCTGAAACATCCTTAACTGACCCTGTCATGTCAGGATCCATCTCACTCAGGGGAGATATCTACCAGAACCAAGGCAGCTAAGGGCAGAAACAGATATTGCTTTTCATCATCTTTGTGCCACCATAATTTTTTTATGGTGGTATGGCGAAGCAAACAGATGTCCATACTCTTGTCTCATCTAAATTGTGGCCATAACAAAAATGGTATCAATTTGTGCCGCTATTTAACAGCAGACATCTGTTTATGTCAGGAGAGTGCTAGCTGTCCAGAGCTGCTTTCACTCTTCAGCTGCATTGTGCAAGTGCTCTGCCCAGGAGGCACCAGACAGAATTGACCACCTACTTGAGGTAGCGTCTATCATGCTAGACCACAGATTAGACTCCAGTTTGCTTGTTCTCTATTTGAACTCATGAGTCTCTCTCTTGGCGTCCCACTAGCTCAACTTCAGCAGGAGGTTTGGAGGATGTATTGAGCCCTGCCTAGCTTATACCTTAGTGATTATGGCAGTTTACTCAGTTTAAACCCCTCAGGGTGAGCAAGGCCTAGAATCTAAGTCTTCCAAGTCCTGAGCAAATGCCAAATCATTAAGTTACTGAGCAAAATCTGGGTGCAACCACAGCTGCAATTGATTTCTGTCAGACTGAGAATCAGGAACTCTCTCTGATTAAATATCACAAAAATTATGATCATGGGCATAAAGTTGAAATAGCTGGGTTTTTCTTTTATTTCTTATTTAATGCATATTTCACCTCCTGCTGAGGTACACTGCTCTGGAAAGAAAGAAAACTGAGCAGTCATATGGTTGTTACTAAACGTACCACTTGTGCTCTTGCATGAAATAGTCACGAGCAATAAAAAAATATATAATTCTTTCCATCTCAGAAATTGCTTTCCACTATTTCTGATAATCAGTCTAGTCACTCTTCAGTTAGATTCCCTGATATTCTATTGGCTGAAAAATATTACTATTTCAGTAGAAAGAAAAAAATAGGAAATCTTTATCATCAATACAGTAAAGCGGTATTTTCTGGTTGCCCATGAAAACAAATGTTGACTTCCATGTAAAGCTTGGAAGCAGGGAAAAAAAAATATTTCACAAAGTGAATCAGTACAAGATAGGTCCTTCCTTTCTCTGATTTCTTTAATCATGTTCTCCTAAACTAGGGAAAGAAATTACACATAAACCAGTATAAGTAGGGATCTACCTATATCGCACTGGACGTGCTCTGTACATTGGCTCCTTTAATATTGCTCTTTTCACTATGTAACCCCCCTGCCACTGAATTGGCAGAGAGGCCCTGGGGGCTCTGCCACTCTCTTCTGATCAACTGGGAGGCAAAAACGCATTTTACATATACGACAGTTTTTGCCCCCCAGCTGATCAGCAGCAGGCACCAGGGCTGCCAGCGCCTGTGAGCCAATCAGCTGAGTCTCTCACTCCCTTCCTGTTTCTCTTTGTTTCTCCTTTTCTGTGTAACTCTCCTGACACACCCCCTTCATCCAAAAGGAGGTGAAACTCTGTTCTTTTACGACGAAGTCAGAGACGTATCTCTTCTATCTGGACTCTTCAGCTTGATTAGATCTTTTTTTACCTTGTCTTCAAGAAACACAGCATGGGTTTGCATTTGGAGCTTTTCCTTTATTGTACCTAGCTAAAATAAGTTGAAAAAAATCCTAAATTTCAACAGCAATATTCCTTTCGCATCCTTGGTTCTAATCCAAAACTCTCCAAGGACACTAGAAATCCAGCCAAGAGTAACTCTAGCAATTCATTATCTTCACTTAGGTTCTCATGGGTAGCAACGAAAGGAAATGGGAAAGCAAAGTTGCTGGCAAAAAAAATATTTTAGAAACACCGAGTAAAAGTTCGGTACATTATGGAATTTTAGACTCCATATTCTCTCACATACAGCACACATCTTTTCCC